CTCCCTCAGCACTGACCCTCCGACAGTGCGGCGCTCCCTCAGCACTGACCCATTGATCGAGAGAAGTTAATGCCATCATTCTGTGCTTTAAGCATTCTGAGAGGCCCACCATTAGGAGATATCTGGATGTCGCAATAAAACGATCAGTATCCCTTAAGAGTTTCTGAGAAATATATCAATCATAATCAGCTCCATGGGTACTCACAGTTTATACCAGTTAATTTCACGCCAGCCTTACACAGTGGTGGAAAGAACCATCCATTGATGCCAAGCTCGAAGCTCCAGTGTGCTGGCAAACTGACACTGAGGAAATGGTTGTGTTCCAGGCAACAGTTCATGGACTGAAGGTTTCTCGAGATAACACTTGCTGTTGGTGAATCCCCACCCGAGCTGACAGCCTTATCTGAGAAAAACAAGGCAGCCTCCACCCTGCGCCTGCTGCTCCCGTCACCATGGTGACAGCGGTCTCCCAGGTCTGCATCTTGCACATGGTTCTCTATGAAATGCAGGAGCCTCCCCCGGGAGCCGCGATCTGGAGGAGGGCCTGTTCCGTCTTCGAGAGCTGCTTCAAGCCCAGCTTGGCTGGATTCACACGCCATCAACTTCACCAGCAGTGGCAGCACATCTCAATCGACAGGTTGCAGCCTTCACAGCTCACAGCACACAGACTAGCTCGCATTCATGCCTGACTGCCTTCAGACGCTGGGGCGATTTCGACCCCAGCTAATTCCTGACCTGATACAAATGCTCAAATTCACAGCTCCAACGTCTATCCCAACGTGCAAGTGTGAGGTGGAGAAAGGGACCCCGACAGCGGAATCTTGCATTTGTATAACGCCTTTGAGACAGTCATAAGATGCTTGACATGAACAGAATCAAACAAAATGAGACAATGAGCCACTTGAAGAGCTGTTAGGGCTATGTATCACTCTTTCAAATTTCATGGCCTTCTCTTCTGCTGCACTGTTCCCTAATTTCCTGTCTCATGCCAAATCCTGTTCACCCAACAGCTCTGGGCTGGTGACACACTCTGTCTCCAGGCTGGTATCCAGCTCAATTTTAAAACTCCTCATCCACGTTTTCAAATTGACTCCTCCCATGGCTTTGCTATGGTTTCCTCCAACCCACCACCTTCCAAGTTCTCCGCACTGTCTGATTCCAGCCCCTTGCATATCCCCAAGTTCAGTGGCTTCACTGGCAGTGCCTTTGGTTTCTCAGGCCGTAAGCTCGATCGAATTCTCTCCCTCTCCACCCTTCCAGCTCTTAAAAATTCCCCTTCAATCCTGCCTCTTTGTCGGCTGTATCTTGGCCACCTGACCTCATTTCAGATTACACAGCTCAGTGCCTCACTTTGCTTCATGTATTCCCAGGACATTATATGACAATCAGGACGCTGTTTAAATATAAAGTTGTTTTTCTTGCCTGTCTGCTCTCAGGGAGGATTGTGGGTGATGCTTGCAACGGGCCTCCTGCCAAGGGAGTGAGTGTTACTTACTTTATTCACATGGATTCTGAAATCTCAGACAGCAGCCTCTATAAAACATCATCGGGTCTTCTCCCTACTCGGGTGCTGACAGAAACTCTGTGTCGCAAATGTCCATTTTAACGTCAAACACACAGATGACAAGAAAAGCTTTGGAATGCAGCCACTCCCTCACTGCACAGTGTTCGCCCTGCGCAGTCTAAAGTCACAGAATGATGGCATTGCAAAGGCCATGTGAAGCAGAGTGCATGATGGAGACTCGGGCGAGTCACAACACATCAAGGCCGCTTGGGAACTCTACAGCGTTCTGGACTCAGTATCAAGTTCGGGGCAAGCTAGACCCGAAACGTCAGCCTCTCTGCTCCTCTGATGCTGCTTGGCCTGCTGTGTTCATCCAGCTCTGCACCTTGTTGTCTCAGTGTCAAGTTCAACAAGTTTAGGGCTTGAGCACCCTTTCCCCATGTTTTCCCCTACTCCCACACACCAGGCCTTTTTATCGGACAGTCATACAGCGCAGAAACAGACCCTTTGGTCCAACCAGTCCATGCCGAACATAATCTCAAACTAAACTAATCCCACCTGCCTGCTCCTGGCCCATATCCCTCCAAACCTGTCCAATTCATGTACTTATCCAGTTGTCTTTTAAATGTTGTAACTGTACTTGCATCCATCACTTCCTTAGGAGGTTCATTCCACACACGAACCACCCTATGTGTAAAAAAAATTGCCCCTCATGTCATTTTTAAATTTTTCTCATCTCACCTTAAAAATGTGCCCCCAAGTCTTGAAATCTCCCATCCTACGGAAAAGACATCTGCCATTACCCCTATCCATGCCCCTCATGATTTTATAAACCTCTAAAAGGTCACCCCTCAACCTCTTATCCTCCAGTGAAAAACGTCCCAGCCTATCCAGCCTTTCTTTATAACTCAAACCTTCCATACCTGGCAACATCATGGTAAATCTTTTCTGAACCCTCTCCAGCTGAATAATACCTTCCTATAACTGGGCAACCAGAACTGGGCACAGGACTGCAGAAGAGGCCTTTGTCAGCCACTAATAGTCCTCATTAGCAGCTATTCTTTCTCCTAGACTGATGTTTATCCACTCCTTTGTCTGTCCAACTGAGTTTCTCTCTCTTTGAGCTCTATCTGTTGAACTTTGGCTTTATCTGTTGAACTTTTAACTTGATTCCTTTATTTTTCTAGTTTATTTTAAGAAGGACTTTAATGTTAATAGTTACCTTATTTCTTTTATCCGTTATTCACTGAAGGTAATGCTTAACTTTTATAACTTTGTTTCTCTTACTACTTTGTACCTTAGTTTTTTGTACCCAGATGCCTTTTCACCTGAGATGGTGCCTTGTGAGGCGACATTCTGCACTTTTCACTGCATTCCTGCCCTTGAGTACACATGACAAAAGAAGTCTAAATCTAAATCTAAAATCTAAATCTAAAAATCTCCACCTATCATTTACTCCTTACTGTCTCCTCTCACCCTATCTTCCACATAAAAACTGACTTTTTCCTTGCTACCATCAGTTCTGAAGAACGGTCACTGGACCTGAAATGTGAACTCTGATTTCTCTCCACAGATGCTACCAGCCCTGCTGAGATTTTCCAGCAATTTCTGTTTTTGTTTCTACAAAGGACAAGGCAAAAAAATCCAAGTTCTTGAATACATGAAACTTGACAAAGGAATGATGTGCAAAAGTCTGAAAAGGCAAACAGGCAGTAGATAATATTAACACAGAAACACAAACCTTTGTGAATTAAGGATGCAAAAGGCCTCTAAGCAGTAGAGCAGTGCTCCCAGGGTCAGAGACAGACTTCACACCCACCTCAGCATTTGGGGCACTGAGGGAGACCCTCTAACTCCCCACTCAGAACTCTCCCCTCCCTGTCCCACTGCACTGCCAATCCTCCGAATCCGTTCCCAATCCATCTGCCTCCCTAGGCCTGCATTAGCTCCCTCAGGCCTGCTCAATCCACAGTCTCTGGATGTATGTGTATAGGCCCTTGCTATATACACAATCACTTACTCTGTACACACAGTCTCTTGTTATATAGACACAGGCACTCCACACAGTTTCTGTATTTACGCAGTCTCTGCATACACAGTCTTTGTATAAATATAATCTCTATATAAACACAATCTCTGTTTATACACAGTCTCTGTATAAACACAGTTTCTGCATCCACACAGTTTCTATCTACACACAGTCTCTGTATCAACACAGTCTGTATATACACAGTCTCTGTATCCTCACAGCCCTGTACACACAGCCTGTGTGTACACACAGTCTCTATATAAAGACAGTCTGTGTATACACACAGTCTCTGCATAAACACAGTCTCTGGAAAACACTGTCTGTGTATACACACAGTCTCTGTGTAAACACAGTCTCCATATGCACAGTCAATGTGTACGCAGTCTCTGGATCCACACAGTCACTGTATAAACATAGACTCTGTATAAACACAGTCTGTGTATACACACAGTCTTTGTATACACACAGTCTGCATAAACTCAGTCTCTGTATAAACAGTCTCTGTATACACAATCTCTACATAAGCACATTCTCTGTATACACTCAGTCTCTGTATATACACAGTCTCTGTATAAACATTGTATATGCACACAGTTTCTGTACATACAGCCTCTGTACAAGCACAATATGTGTATTCACATAGTGTCTGTATACAAACCATTTCTATCTAAGCACAGCCGCTTTATAAACGCAGTCTCTGTATAAACAGTCTTTGTATGCACACAGATCTCTTTATACACAGTCTCTGTACAAACAGTTTGTATACACACAGTCTCTGTATATACACAGTCTCTGTATCCCACAGTCTCTGTATAAACAGAGTCTGCATACACAGTCTCTTTGTCCACACAGTCTCTGTATAAACACAGTCTCCATAGGCACATAGTCTGTGGATCCACACAGTCACTGTATCCACACAGTCTTTGTATCCATACAGTCTGTATACACTCAGTCTCTGTATAAACACTGTCTGTGTATGCACACAGTCTCTGTACACACAGCCTCTGTATACACACAGTCTCTGTATCAGCACAATATGTGTATTCACATAGTCTCTGTATACACACCATTTCTAAACACTGTCCCCCTATAAATACAGTCTCTGTATACACAGTCTTTGTATGCACACAGTCTCTGTATACACACAGTCTCTGTATATACACAGTCTCTGTATCCCACAGTCTCTGTATAAACAGCGTCTGTATATATACACAGTCTCTGTATGCACACCGTCTCTGTATACACACCATCTCTGTATAAACACTTGTGTATACACACAGTCTCGTACACACAGCCTCTGTACACACACAGTCTCTGTATGCACAGTCTTTGTAAGCACACAGTCTCTATATAAACACACTCTCTGTAACACACAGTTTCTGTATAAACATAGTTTCTATATAAGTACAGTCTCTGTATATACATAGATCTCTTTATACATGGCCTCTGTATACACACAGTCTCTGTATATACACAGTCTCTGTATCCCACAGAGTTGGTGTTTACACACAGTTTCTTTACCCACACAGTATCTGTGTAAACACAGTCTCCACAGGCACACAGTCTGTGTGTATGCAGTCTCTGGATCCACAAAGTCACTTCATAAAAACAATCTGTGTATACCTACAGTGTTTGTATCCACACAGTCTGTGTACACTCAGTCTCTGGATCAACACAGTTTCTGTATACACACCATCTCTGTATTAACACAGTCTCTGTATACACACAGTCTCTATATCCAAACAGTTTGTATATAAATACCATCTTTGTATACACAGTCTCTGTATACACAGTCATTGTATATACACAGTCTCTG